TGCGACGCTGTTGCAAAAGGGCGCCATAGAGAGAGTCCCACCATCTATGACCGAGTCGGGGTTTTACGGCCGTTATTTTCTGGTTCCCAAGAAAGACGGCGGCCTCAGACCGATTTTAGATCTCAGGTCTTTGAACAAAGTGCTCATGAAGAGACCGTTCAAGATGCTCACTACCAGGAAACTCCTCGCGCAGGTGCGTCAGGGGGACTGGTTCATCTCTCTAGACCTGAAAGACGCCTATTTTCAGATCCAGATAAATCCCCGTCACAGGCCATTCTTACGTTTCGCCTTCGAGGGTCATGTTTATCAATACGCCGTTCTCCCGTTCGGCTTATCTCTGGCGCCCCGCACATTTACGAAGTGCATGGATACGGCGCTCGCCCCCCTGCGGAGCCAGGGGCTGCGCATATTGAATTATCTGGACGACTGGCTGATTTTGGCCCAATCACAGACGGAGCTTCTGTCGCACCGCGCAGTTCTCCTCGACCATCTGAAAACGCTGGGCCTCTCTGTCAACTGGACAAAGAGCTCCCTTCAACCCAGTCAATCGATTTCCTTTCTAGGAATAGATTTGAACTCGGTCACGATGACGGCTCGCCTGTCTACACAGCGCGCGCGCAGTGTACAGCGACTGGCCGCCTCGTTTCAGATGGGCACCCGCTCACCTCTGAAAACGTTTCAGAGGATGCTGGGTTACATGGCCTCAGCCTCCGCTGTGCTTCAGCTGGGCCTTCTGCACATGCGTCCGCTTCAGCTTTGGTTAAACAGCCGTGTACCCCACCGCGCGTGGAACACGGGCCGCCAGCTGATCAGAGTTACGCAGACATGTCTCACGGCGCTGCAGCCATGGACAGTAGCAGAATGGTTCCGACAAGGCGTCACGATGGGGACCTTTTCTCGCCGAAAAGTCATCTCGACAGATGCATCCAACACGGGTTGGGGTGCAGTCTGCGAGGGCTCACCGGCCTTCGGCCATTGGTCGACACAGGAAAGCCCCTTACACATAAACTGTCTGGAAATGCTTGCGGTCGAGAACGCGCTTTCGCGCTTCCTCCCGCTCATTCGGGGACACCACGTCCTGATCCGTTCGGACAACATGGCTGTGGTCTCCTATCTCAACCGTCAGGGCGGTGTCAGGTCCAGGAATCTCTTCCTACTGACACACCGCATTTTAGTTTGGTCTCAGAGCCGCCTGCTCTCGCTCAGAGCGACGCATGTGCCGGGCCATCTGAACGACGGCCCAGACATACTGTCCAGGAACCTCATCTCCTCAGGAGAATGGTCCCTGAACACACAAACGGTCCAAATACTGTGGCGGCTATTCGGCAGAGCAGAAGTGGACCTCTGCGCTAGCCCAGGAATGGCCTCGCCGCCCGCTCTATGCATTCCCTCCGATCGCTCTGCTACCACAGGTAATTCAGAGGATCAGGGACACACGCCACTCGGTGCTCCTCATAGCCCCGCGTTGGGAGAGTCAGAATTGGGTTCCGGAGCTCACTCAGCTGTCGCAGACAGCCCCTTGGCCCATCCCAGTCAGAGCAGATCTCCTCTCTCAGGCTCTGGCACGATCTGGCACCCCCATCCACGGCGCTGGGCGCTACATGCATGGGTGATCAACGACTATTCGTTGATTTGCCAGAAGGAGTAAGAAACACTATCATACAGGCTAGAGCACCTTCCATGAGAAGGCTCTATGCGTCTAAATGGTCTGTGTTCTCAAAATGGTGCACCGACAAACATCTGGACCCACGGTCATGCGAGGTGCCGTCTTTGCTTGTTTTCCTTCAAGAGATGCTGGACAAGGGCAGGTCCCCCTCCACTCTCAAGGTTTACGTGGCAGCCGTCGCGGCGTTCTCTGAACCCCGACGCGCTCAGTCCCTGGGCAAAGACGAGTTAGTCATCCGCTTCCTCAGGGGAGCTAAGAGGATGAACCCTCCCGCCCCCCTTCGGTTCCTATCTGGGATCTTTCTATAGTTCTCGAAGCTATGAAAGCACCCCCGTTCGAACCGCTCGAGTCTGTGGACCTAAAATACCTCTCGCTCAAAACCGTTTTTCTGACGGCTCTGTCCTCAGTAAAACGCGTGGGGGATCTTCACGCGCTCTCATCCAGCGCCGCGTGTCTCGAGTTTGGTCCGAATGATTCTGTTGTCATTCTCAAACCTAGACATGGCTATGTCCCGAAGGCGATTGGTACCCCGTTCAGGGCTCAGATTATTTCCCTATCGGCTCTGCCTTCATCCGATAGTGAGCGCGACGCCAATCTCCTCTGCCCGGTGCGGGCTCTGAGATTGTACACTACGCGCGCTGCCGCGTTCAGACGCGCTGAGCAGCTTTTCGTGTCGTTTGGGGGGCGCACCAAAGGTCTGGCCGCCTCTAAACAGACACTGTCTAGATGGATAGTGGACGCTATCGCCTCTGCTTACGCATCTAAATGCCTGCCCTGCCCTCTGGGCATCAGGGCGCACTCCACTAGAGGCATGGCCTCATCGTGGGCATGGTCCTTTGGAATTTCCATTCATGACATCTGTGTGGCCGCGGGATGGGCCTCCCCGTCCACTTTTGTCAGGTTTTACAACTTGGAAGTTCCCGCCTTGCAGGCAAAATTACTAGCTGTCTAAACGACCAGCTCCCTAAGAAGCTGCATTACTGGGAGTCCCTCACACAACCGGTTCGCCCCTTGTGCTCTCCTTAAATGCTTATACACTTCATGTGCCCGCTCTGCCGGCCTCTTACATGCTTATGTATACACTTCATGTGCCCGCTCTGCCGGCCTCATAATACATTCACTCCACGTTAAAAATCCCCCGGTATCACCCTGGGATTCATGAGTGGATTCATAGCGCGCACGGCGTTGACCAGGTGTTCCCGCAGCGTAAGCTAGCTTACGCAATACGAGAGAACCTCTCGTAAGAGAACGAATCGGTTACCTAACGTAACCTCGGTTCTCTCTAGAAGAGGGAACGAGTATTGCGTTCCCGGCCGTGCTTGCGCTACTAGCGTTTCGCTTCACGCTGAAATAAATCAACATATAAGCCTGGGAGAGACTGTTATATACACCATAGCCACGCCCCTTCTGGCGGGCCATGACGCAATGAGCGCGCGGGCGCCTCTCATTGGAAGCGGGTTCAGCCCCGCTCTCCCATAGGCTTAAGCAGTTCTCTCTGAGCGAACCAATGAGCTGCTAGCTAGCCTGCTCTAGGTCTGCCGCAGAGGAACTGCGTTGTGTATGGATACAAATTATGAAATAATTTTTGGCTTCAATATCTCAGCAAAGATGAATCTTTCCCGCAGCGTAAGCTAGCTTACGCAATACTCGTTCCCTCTTCTAGAGAGAACCGAGGTTACGTTAGGTAACCGATTCGTTTTCTTACAATACTAATGAGAATTTTTAATTAAAGTATATTACAAAGTTTTAATTCAGACTCTAAAGAATCATATTAGCTTGTACAAAAATGGCATTATATGACCCCTTTAAAACAGAAGATGCTGGGAGAGTGTCATTTGCAAACGAACGTATTCATCCACTAAAAAAATAAAACTTTCAATATTCTCAATTCACAAACACTCTTAATGTAACAAGGGGGGGTTTATCTTTCACGGTATATCAGATTTGTTCTATTTATGTATTTAAAACCTTTTCAAAAAGTAATTATTATGTCGGTAACAGGGTTGACCAAACACACACATTTACGTTGGTTATATGAAAAAAGTAAAAAAAATAAGATAGCCTGAGATGGCACGGCATATTTTCCTGAGCGGTAATGATCTACTTCATCCAAAAAGGGGCTTAAAGATTTTCAAAACAGTACTTTGAAAATCAAACATTAAAAGTGGGAAATGGCACGTTTTCGGATAATGACCCACATATCTAGACAGAAATCCACATTAGCACAGTAGCACTTCACTTAGGGCCTATATTTAAAATACAATATATAATGTTAACAAATGTTAAATAATCTTACTTAGTATAATTAATTGGTTCAATTTAAAACAGTTAGACGAAACGTTAATTATATCCATATTTAAATCAATATGGGACCAACTTTTACCTTAAATTCTCCTACTCCTTCACTTTCTGCAGACCTGCAGCATCATGATTTCCCGGAAATTCCCCTCATTAACTCTGGGAGGCAGGGCACTTTTGAGACGGAGCTGCCCACTACAAACACCACCCTTAAATATTATGCCCACTGCTCGAAGTTCAGTCAGAACCATCTGAGACACAAAGAAACAAGCAGCGGTAAGTTCTATATTTTTTTATAATCTTTTTTTTATTTTTATTTACTTTAGCAGACACAGGGTGTTTCTTCAACTTGGCTAATATATTGTCTGAATATAAACGTCTGGCTTTCTAACTCAAATAAACGTATAATCTTTGTAATTTACAAGTTTGTAAAATGCCTTTCATATTTCAAGATTGATTTGAATATTTTAAGACTGAAAGTGCACAGGCCATTAGCCATTAAAATCTTTTCATACATTTGAAAAGTTGCACACAAAAAACTGCAATTAGTTTTAATAAAATACAGTCACTGGGACACAGAATTGAGCAAAAAACTGAAGAAACACCCAATATTTTTAGTTTAGTTGTTTGAATGATTTTATTTAACTTAGTAAAAAGTTATTTTAGAAATATTTATCTTTTGAAAGAATAAGCCAATAACATCTCTTTGGTGTTTCAGGCCAAACTCTAATGATAAATTATACATGTTCATATTGTAGCCTATGTCTCTGTTTTGAAAACAAAAAGTGCTGTAAATAAGACTGTAGCCAGGGAGCAGCACATACACTATTAGAGGTGAAATATAACATAAACTTCCATAACAAAAAACAAATGAGTAACTATAACTGTGGGAAAAAAATTCTGTCTAAATAAATAATGAATAATCGTGCGCTTGTTTAATTATTCTACAGAGCCCATGTGCAGGGTTTCTGCAGATGCAGATTTTTGTTGTCAGCAAGTGAACGGAATCAGAAAACATTTTCACTTTCACTCTCAATGACTGCATTGCAGATAAGCCAGTGAGAGTGCATTTTTGTCCAATCTATACCATGCATAGAGCAGAGGATAAGAAGCTGATGGGCAGAATATGTGTTTAGCTGTGTCTCGTTAATTGTATGTGGTTGCAGTTTTACACAGGCCTAAAAATATGCAATTTCTCTTCAATATAGCAGCAAATTTACAGACATCCTACACAGACTTTTAACTCAAAGGAATTTGTGACTTCACCTGCCTCTCAACAAGGTAATCAATAATAAAAATATATAACATGATATACCATGATGCAGACTTTATCAGAGCTATGCTTAAATTCAGACAGTGGTGCGCTGTATGGTAAGTGTGTGTCTTTTTAATTATATGTGTATGGTTTTTACTTAGGATCATGTCTTGTCGTGAGTATATGCCAGCTCCAGCGTGTCTCATCGAAAATGATGAAAATGGGAAGCTGTGTGTGAGGAAAGATGCTAAAGTCATTCTGGATGGGATCAAGGAGCCGGTGGTGGTGGTGTCTGTGGTGGGACTCTACCGTACGGGGAAGTCCTACCTTATGAACCGCCTGGCAGGACAACAGTCCGGTGAGAGAAACTGCTGAAAGTCTCATGTGCAGTACATACTGATATGATAATGAGTACAGAATCTGAATGTGTGAAATATTTGAAAACAGTAACTGCATCAAGTGTTTGAATATTTTACATAATAATAATGATGATAATAAATTATTGGCTCAGGCTTTGCTCTCGGCAACACCGTTGAGTCAAAGACCAAAGGCATCTGGATGTGGTGTGTCCCTCAACCCAAAAAAGAAGGACACACTCTGGTGCTGCTGGACACAGAGGGACTGGGTGATGTGGACAAGGTGAGCACAGTCACTAACTACTAAAACTAATTTCCCAGGATCAGTTGCCATTTGTTTCCTGGGAAGGTACAGTAATGGTTTAAATGGCGCTCTGAGTAAAACTGTTCTAATAACACTGATCCGTGTGTTTCAGGGAGACTCTAAGAATGACGGCTGGTATTTTCTCTGGCCGTTCTGCTCAGCAGCACTCTGGTGTACAACAGCCGCGGCACCATCGATAACAATGCAGTGGAAAATCTGCAGTATCCTTTAATCGGCCACATATAAGACCATCTTTCATTTATACAACCTTTGTAAGATGCTGTTATTTCTCAATGTGCTGCAGCTACATAACTGAGCTCACCGAGCAGATCAAGATCAGATCGACAGAAGCTGCAGACGAGGAGGAAGAGGAGGATTCTCAGTTTGTGCAGTTTTTCCCATCATTTATCTGGGTGGTTAGAGATTTCACCTTGGAACTGGAAATTAATGGAGAAACAGCAACAGAGGATGAGTACCTTGAGTTTGCCCTCCAGCTGAAGAAAGGTATTTTAGACAGAATTACATTTAAAGGGTTATTTCACCCAAAAATGAAAATTATGTCATTAATGACTCACCCTCATGTCGTTCCAAGCCCGTAAAAGACCTCCGTTCATCTTCGGAACACAGTTTAAGATATTTTAGATTTAGTCCGAGAGCTTTCTGTCCCTCCATTGAAAATGTATGTATGATATACTGTCCTTGTCCAGAAAGGAAATAAAGACATCATCAAAGTAGTCCATGTGACATCAGTAGGTTAGTTAGAATGTTTTGAAGCATCGAAAATACATTTTGGTACAAAAATAACAAAAACTACGACTTTATTCAGCGTTGTATTCTCTTCCGGTTCTATTGTCAATCCTGTTCAGTGACGCTGATGACGTAAGACGCTGCTGACGTGTTATCTGGTGCGCCCGAGCTTCGTTTACAGTCTGAGGGAGACGCACGCTGTAAACAAAACAATCTTCGCAAACATGTCTAAGGATTTTCGACACAGAGGAAGACTTGCATTTTTTTCCCCAGCCATATTTATTTGAACCCGTATACACGGACACACCAGATAACATGGCATCAGCGTCTTGCGTCATCAGCGTCACTGAACGCGGATTGACAATAGAACTGGAAGACAATGCTGAATAAAGTCGTTATTTTTGGACCAAAATGTATTTTCGATGCTTCAAAACATTCTAACTAACCCACTGGTGTCACATGGACTACTTTGATGATGTCTTCATTTCCTTTCTGGACAAGGACAGTATACCGTACATACATTTTCAATGGAGGGACAGAAAACTCTCGGACTAAATCTAAAATATCTTAAACTGTGTTCCGAAGATGAACGGAGGTCTTACGGGCTTGGAACGACATGAGGGTGAGTCATTAATGACATAATTTTCATTTTTGGGTGAACTAACCCTTTAAGCATTTGGCAGATGCTTTTATCCTAATAAACTTGCAGTGCATTCAAGGTGTACGTTTTATCAGTTTTTGCTTCCACTGGGAATCAAACCCATGAAATTAGCGAGCCATGCTCTAGTAGGCTCAATGACACTTGATACTTATTCTGGGAGGTCATTGAAATAACCACTGATGAATGCCATCTAGACTAGATTCTGAAATGGTACAATTCATTTTCTGACTTGACCACATATTTGTCTGCACACACAGCCTAATGTTAATAATTGTTGATACTGCAATACATTTGCATAAATTAATTTTGTTTAAATTATCAAAACTTAAATGAAATGCCACTGATTTGGGAAAATGTTTATTTCCCACAAATTACCTTTTTAGGTGTGGGTAAGAAAAAGAGTGACTACAATCTGCCCCGTGAATGTATCCGACAGTATTTCCCTAGCCGGAAGTGTTTTGTGTTCCCGATTCCTGTTACCTCCCAGAAAGACATGACACACCTAGAGAGCTTACAAGAGCAGGACCTTGCTCAAGCATTTCTGGAGGTCACAGGTCATTTCTGTGACCACATTTTTTTCAATAGTGCTGTGAAAACACTGAAAGGAGGACACAGAGTTACTGGTAAATGTAAGTGTATTACCAAATGATCATCAAAAACTATGGAGCATTTACTATTAAAATGCTGTTCTCTATAGTTGTTTGTGTGTGTTGTCAGTGCTCGGGCACCTGGTTGAGATTTATGTGGATACAATCAGCAGTGGGAAGGTGCCCTGTCTGGACAATGCAGTGGTTGTTCTGGCAAATGTAGAGAACCAGGCAGCTGTTCAAGAAGCTATGAAAGTGTATCAGACTGGGATGGAAGAGGTAAGACATGCACATTGTGATTGAGTATTTTTTTTTATGTTTCAAAATCAATTTTGTTTTATCCTTCGCTGTACATATCTGTGTTTTTATACAGATTAATAAACTTATCCAAAGTCAGAAAACCAAACTATGTATACATTTTAAATATGTCTATGAAAGCTGAACCACCGATTTAGGCTCGAAAGTCTTCACTGAATGCAGTGTACATTCAAGTAAACAAACAGTACTGTATGTTTTTACAGGTGAAGAAAACATTCCCAGTCACTATAGATAATAATACCTGTGAGCACCAGAAATTCAGCAGTCTAGCCATTTCTGAGTTCATGAAATGCTCATTCAACGATGAAAAGGGGCAATACCTGAAAAAAATGGAGGTGAGCTTTAAATATAGAAGACACATTCGTACTTGCGCACAATGCATACTAGCATATACACAGATGAGCTAAAACTTTATGACCACCTGCCTAATATGTTCCTCCATGTGCTGCCAAAACAGCACTGACCCACCAACCCATGGACTCTACATGACCCCTTAAGGTGTCTTGTGCTATCTGGCACCAAGACGTTTGCAGCAGATCCTTCACTTCCTGTAGGTTGTGATGTAGAGCTGCTGTAGATCGAACTTGTTGGTGCAGTACACCCTACAGATGCTCAATCTGATTGAGATCAGGGGACTTTGGAGGCCAGGGCAACACCTTGAACTCTGGGTTTGCAAGCAGAACATGCCTTAGAGCATCACACTCCCACTGGCTTGTCGTCCTCCCACAGTACATCCTGGTGCATCACTTTCCCAGGTAAATTACGCAGCCGTCAACGTGATATAAAACAAAACGGGACTCACCGACCCAGGCCAGCTCCAGTTCCGACGCCTGTGTGCCCATTGTAGGCGATTTTGACGATGGACACCCCAAATGTGAACATGATGAAGAGTTCAAGGTGTTGCCCATCATAGGCACGCTGTATGTATCGACACATCATAGGCACTACACAGCCCCATACACAGCAGAGTGCACAACACTGTGTGTTGTGACACATACGTACCTCCAATAACCATCATTTAAATATTTTTGTGATTGGTGTCACAGTAGACATTCTGTTGACTCAGACCAGATGGAAGAGCTTTTGTTGCACTCGTCCATCGATGTACCCTGGGCGCCCAACACACCGTCGCTGGTTTGTGGTTTGTCCCTCCCCAGACCACTGTTGGGAAATTCTCAGCACTGCTGACCACAAGCAACCCACAGGCCTTGCCTTTCAGAGATACTCTGACCCAGACGTCTTGCCATAACAATTTGGCCCTTGTCAAAGTCCCTCAGATCTTCATTCCTGCCTATTTCTCCTGCATCCAACACATTGATTACAAGAACTGATTTTTTTGCTTAATCTAATCTACCCAGACCTTAATATGTGGCCTTGTTAGGAGATGATCACTGGTATTTGCTTCACCTGTGACTGGTCATAATGTTTTGGCTCATCAGTGTATATGGAAAATTCATGTGGCATTGAAATGATGTCCAAGTACTATATACTGTCAGGTTGGAGATTGTTTTGTTAATATTTGGTGACCACATAAATTCCTACATCCATCAGATTGATACAGCTAATTCACACAACAATGCACAAACACAGTGTCCAATACATTCAGACTTTGTACAAGGGTATTTATGCATGTTTTTATATGTTTATAGGAAGCTGTAAACATGTACTACGTACACTTGCTGGAAGAGAATAAGACGAAATCAGAAAGAAAGTGTCAAGATCTGCTGAATAATCTGTTCTCTGACATGAATAAACGGCTGCAGAATGGAGAGTACAGTCAGTCTGGAGGACATGATTTCTACTGCAGAGACAGAGACGCCATTGTTGAACAGTACCGCAGAGAACCCAACAAAGGTGTATCGGTGAGAACACTTTCAGTGTGTATTTGATAGTGTAGGCATTTGTATATCTACACCGCCATTGAGTGAAATATATTTGTATAATAGGGCTCTCTTTACATCTTGCACTAACAAATGTTTTGTCTCCGCATAGTATCTGTATTCTGTTTACACTGTCATTCCAATTTATATCCAGTATGGATGGATAGAAATCTGATTATGCTTATCTAAGCAAAATGCATAACAGTGTTATGTATTTCATGACATTTACCAAATTTTAAAAACATCAACATATAATTCAAAGTGCTTTCCTTTTTTCTTGCATTTCTTTTCTTTATGGATCCCTTAGTAAAGGATGCAAAAGTGAAGGAAAAAAGGAGATCTCAAGTGTAATCTAAATGCGCTAAAAAAGTGCAGTGTCTGTTGTGAAATCAGAAAAAAACATACAGACTCAATCGTGATGTATATGATTATTAGCAGTGTAACCTCATTAAATATTACTTGTATAACAAGCACATTTGCATTTTAATCTTCATTAAATGTGTTCATGATCCAATCTACTGGGTTCCCAGGACTGGATTTAAAAACCACTGGTCTAAATTAGATATGTTTATATGCAGGCTGAGGCTGTGCTGACTGTGTTTCTGAATGAGCGAGGAGCTAAAGCAAACACCATCCTCTGCGCAGACACAAAACTCACTGAAATTGAGAAACAAATTAAAGGTAATTTTATTTTAAGTACAACACAACGTCAGTGGATTTTTGAGGAAAAGGTTTTGAGGTTAATTTATCATATCATTTATCTCTCTCTCTCTCTCTCTCTCTCTCTCTCTCTCTCGACTGAATGTTCAGAGGAGAAGGAGAATGCGGCTCTGTTGAAACAGAAATGTAAAGAGGAAGAGGAGAAACGAATTGAGAGTGAACAAATGAATGCGGCAGAGAATAAGCGACATGAGGACAGGGTTAGGCAGATGGAGGAGAAGTTCAAGAAGGAGCTGGAACAGCGGCAGCAGGAAAAGGACAGAGCCATTGAGAGCAAACTGAAGGAGCGGGAGGAGATGCTAAAAAAAGGCTTTGAGGAGAGAGCTACAAATCTTAAAGAAGAAATCAACAAGTTACAAAATGAAAAGAAACACCTAGGTGCTGGTGGCGGTGCCATTTTTAAGGATTATGTGATGCCATTTCTCTGTCCTCTTTTAGAAATGGTTCCCAACCTCCTTATGCAGAGATCAATGATTAAATGCCTCAAAGGTAAACGTTAAAAACCTGATACAAAACAATCTCTGACTGATATTTTCCATTCACTGACAAATCTCCATTGTAACCTTCAAAGACTAACAAAAGCATGAGCTTTATAGGGCAGCTAGTAAATGAGCTGATAATTCTGAACAAATGCACCCTTGAAAGTGCAGTGTGTAATTTATACACCATTAGGGACACCTATTGAATTAGCAAAAATGTGAAGAGCATGTTATCCAGTTCACCTTCCATCATTTGGACAAACGGGTATCCCTCCCGACTCGAACTTACACAGTTTAATGGTGTAGAAAATATGCATTACATTCACAAAAAAAGCATAAAGCATTCACTGGAGTTGGTGGTTTGAATCCAAAATATCTGCCATTGATCGGACAAAAAATTGAGTAATGTGAAAATGCCGTTTGCTCGGGTTTAAGAAACAGCTGTCAGTTCTGTAGAAAATGGTTAGGGTGCTGTTAATATTTTCTTATTTTTTAGGCTCCGCTTTTGTAAGACTGTCCTTGTGTAACTTCTTTCCATTATGTTATGTGCACATCATGGACACACCTAGACAAAACAAGAACTAGGCCTTGGACACACTTATACATGTTACTTTTACACTTACACTTATATGATTCTTCTTCCTTAATAAACTTGAGAAGAATGTTATGGTACTACACTGTCTCTGAGTCTGCTTGATTATTCTCCTGTGAACTCGCACTGCTGCTGCCACACATCACAAGAGTTGAGGCGTCTGTTTCCAACAAATAACTGATAGCTTCGAGGCTGCAGATAGTATGCCTGAAAATTAATCTAACAGGTGCTTAAACTGGGAAAGGAATTTGTTCAGACTCAAAACAAGATTTGCAGAAGGTTGTTGGGAGGGACATGATGAAGTGACCTTGAACTTGACAGCTTGAGTTTTCAAAAGTGATCTTTTCTAGTCTTTTTGAGTCAAAATGCTGAATCCCTTAGACTAGAAAAGCTCATAAGAATGTGGCTCAAAGTCATTCATAGATTGTTACCTACAGGTGTCGGAGAATTTCATTTGTCTCATACATGGGTCTGAATATAAAATGCTGTAATGTGAGAGAAAACTAGGTCTGAGATTATGGCCAGACAAAAACTGTCAGAAGACAGAACACCAGGTCAAAGGGTATATGAAATATGAACTTGAAAAACTGGAAAAGTACCCAAAAACAACCTTGTACGAAGGATTTGCCACACATAAGATCAGGACATCAATGTAGGTGTTTTTAATCGTGGCGAGGTGACGAGGGGGAGCAAAAAGATAATAACTGTGTAAACGATAAGAAAAAGGTATAAGACCAGAGTGCTGGCCTCGGTGAAATCAGATGCCTGTCTACCATCTCACTTTGTTGAACTGCTCAATAAAGTTATTCTTCTGAGACCTGAGACTTCGACTCTGAAAGATTTCTTCTGAGACCTGAACCAGACTTTGAAGACCTGAACCAAAGATCGAGAATTTGCCACTACACAGGTAGGGTCACTGAACTAACTAGTGATGACATTTTCTTGAGATATTTGCGATGGATGAATGGATTTGGATATGTGATGGAATTTTTTATTGATGGAATTTGAACGTTTATTCTCAATAACAAAAGGAAATGTGTAAAAGGAAGTGTTTTGGAAAGATGGAAATAGTTCCTATTTTTGCTTTGAAAAAGTGCATATGTTGCGATAAAGAAATTATGGCCAAGAAGGGGTTCAAAGGGAATTTTAAAGTAGCAAGCTGCATGAGACGTGCAGACAATGTGCCTTTTGAACCATGTACATACCATGTGATCAGATGGTCTTGGAAAATGCTTAGCACTAGAACTAACAGTCATTAGCTTAGATCATTATAACCAATCCCCAAATCAGTATTCTGTAACACTTTTGTTGACCTAACTACAAAGTATAAATGTGTGTGTGTATCTTTTTGTTCTGGGAGTCTTGGTTGTTGAGTGCTCCCAGCCGGCTCTCAATAAACCTTTTTTCCTGAGCAATTTGAGAGTTGGATCTTGAATGCTGCAACTGGAAAAAAATAAGTACTAAAGATTCTAAGCTCATATGGTCAAAATCAAGACAGTGAGCGATCAGGGAGCGACAGTAATATTCTGAGTTAGTATTAGGGCTGTAATAGTGTAGATGCAGACCTGGCCTTCATCAATGAATTGGGGGTAGCATCTAGACGGGACGCTGTCTGTCACTGTATTATGTATTGTATTGGCAACGGAAAGTTGCACGAAATATTGTATTGGTAACTGAAGGAATAGTCAGATTTTGTTCCATATTAAACAGTTTGAATTGTGTATCGAGAATTTCCTTTTTCAGAAGAAAAAATGTCAAAAGAATCGAAGCCCTCCACTGCTTTCTTGTCCAGGTGTGTCCAAACTCAGTCCTGTTGGGCCACTGTCCTGAAGAGTATCTCTAACTTGCCAACACACCTGCCTTCAATTTTCTAGTATGCTTAAGAACTTTATTAGCTGGTTCGGGTGTGTTTAATCTGGGTTGGAGCTAAACTCTGCAGAACAGCGGCCCTAACAGGATTCAACACCCCTGTTCAAGTGAAGTCCAATAAAAAGGCAACAGTAAAAGGAACAATCACATAAATTACTTGTATCACATTAATTTATTAATGTAATTTAGTCCTCAAAACGTTCATCATATATTCTGGCATATTCCAATATCAAAACAAAAGTGTTTTTTTTTCAATTAGAGCATCTCTGATCTGTTGTTTTCACAGTGGTTTGTTGTAGCCTAATGGTTTTTCAGACAACTGAATGTTCTCACTTTTATGCATCAGAGAGGTGTTATAATCAGAACTTGTCAATTACAACATTTAGTTATATTTAGAAATACTTTACTGTTCTGATACTCATTTGAGTCATATCTTTTGATTTTATTATTGTTCTTAAAACAAAGTTCTTTTATAAGATTTTGTTATTACCTAAACATTTAAATTCATCTTTGAAATAATTAGAAATACAGTATATTTTGTGGTAGGTATGTAAACATGTACCAGTCTATTCATTGTAGCCTACAGGAAAATCACGTCTGCATATATTCAACTTTTCAATATTTTCTATCAATATTAGAAACCTTTGAAGTATGTTATAAAGAAAGAAAGAAAGAAAAATAATTGTACATGCACCACCACTTAACAAGATGATAATGAAATAGCCTAATTGTGACAAGAATTTGGGAATGAGCCAAAAAATGAGGTCATTGGTGTATTAAAATCGAAGAAGCGATTGGGATTGGTAGAAGAAAAAAAAAAGAAGAAAAAAAAGGGACGTGACCAACGACATCGTCACTTCTCACTGCCTCAGCCCAGGAAATCGAAACTCAAGTAAGCGGCTGAGGGTAACTAGAGGAACATGAAGTTTGGTTTGCGTTGTGTGCACTTGATTGAGATGGTTTCGAGTGCAGGTGACACCACGTTTCCCTCCTCAGAGATGTAAAGGTGGGTTCAAAAGTAAATGTTTTATTTGTGTGGAAATTCTGGGTGTTGTTCCGCAGAAGGCTACGTCAGGCGCGCGCTGTTCTTGTTTTTTCATTAGAGAATTATAAATTAATATTTTAGTGTTCTCAAAGATATCACGGTCTTTAATTACTTCTTTTAAACTATGTAGGTTTAAGATTCTTTTCATTTACCGTGGTTTATTTCAAAGCCAATTTTCAATATTGTCGTGTTGCATTGGCCGTTGGGTGCGACGCTGCTGTAACGTTACCTATAATTTAAATTTACAACAGAAATTTACAACAATGCCCTTTGCCATATTCATATTAATAAAAAATTTACTCTTTTTGCCATTTTGTCGTAACGATCAATACAAGCATCCCCCACCTGACGTTTGACAGCAGAGGGAGGATCTAAGATAAAAAATAATATGCTCCTGCTGTCTACGTGTAAGATTAACATTTAAAAGACCAGAATTAACAAATAATATTTTAGACAGAACATTTAAAAATTGAACTGCACTTTTTTTTCTTTGTACAAACCTGGGTAAACACACATAGGAAATAATGAATGAATCTAAATGGTCATTCATTACTCTACCCATAAACTCTAAATGGTATGCATGTGTGTGTAATGTGATGCATAGGAAGATATGGGGCCATTCTTAGTGTTTAAAGTGACTGCTAATTTAAATGGCATATGAGAGCTCAAAAGCAGTCAAGCCTGTCACATTTCCTGCTGCCACCACAAAAACTTCTGCGTACTTATGACTCAGGGCATATGATGGTACTGTTGAGCACTGTTAAAAAATAATAATAATTATAATAATTCAGTATTTTACTCTAGGCAACTAGTCTGAAGCAACCACCTCATTATACGGCAGGGCTGCCCAGCAACAGCCTCTGTGCTTTGATACCTGACCTCTCTCTGTGTACCAGAAGATAAATATGCAATGAAATTAATCCTTATGTATATGTGCACATTTTGTGTAATGCATTTGTGTAATATTTACATAGGCAATTTACATAGTTTTCATTACATAGACCTTTTCATTACATTTTGATCTAAAATAATCCTTACATGATCTGAAGCCAGGCTTCAGTTTAAAGAGGTTTGTGGTTGACTAACAACAGTAATCAGTCTGAAAGAGCAAAAACCTGTTCTGTGGCAGTTCACATGGAGTTAATATCCCTTGTTTTCGTGGTTTTCTCTGGTTGCTAGGTTGCACTTGTCAAATAGGAAAATAAGTCTTTTGTTTTGTCTTCTGTTTATGATAAGCTTAACCTTGTATTGTACCCCCCAGCTTTTCTTTCTCACATAACCTCAAGAACAACAGCTCTGGCCAACTATTACAGAATGCCTGTCTTTCTACAATGTAATCTAATCTTAGCTTACCACCAGTAAAATAAAGTAAAGTACAATAGGCAAATTAGCAAAAATGTTATATTCTATTCTTTCAAATGTGCAGTATTCAAACAAAAAAGTGACTACCACAGCACATTTGCATACAGTATGTGAATTTTTTTTTTATGTGATCCAACAGCTCAGCAGTTATTATCAGACCAGTTTTATCAAAGTTTATTTAACAAAACTTTCAAAAAAGCATGTAAATTTTAAATAAAATGAAAAATCATCTCTAAAATAGTTCAAAAGCCTATTTGACAGTTACCAGCAATATCATTTAAAGAAGCAACATCTGAATAAATGGATCTCTACCTTTTATAAAACATGAGATACTGCACAATATGAGCAGTATGTCATGTAGAAAGTTAATTGTTATGTCCCTTCATAGTCATAATTCATCCTTTATACTTCCCAATAGCTGTTCAAAGGTCTAAGTATAGTAGTAATGTGATTCTGTTTTCTGTGGGGGTTTATGCTCTTTTGAATGGTATTTGCATTCTCCCTTATGTAAACAAGTCATCTCATGAGCTGTGTTCTTCTCTTTCCTCACATTAGGTTGAATTTACTGCAGTATTTGAAGCTGTGGGTGCCCAGCTGAAGGTGTTCATGTCAGACTTAATGCATGTTATGGCTTGAATCTGTAGAAATGTCTACAGTAAAGGCTAGAGATGCTCAGCTGCAGGAGTTCATGCAGATGTACGAGCTGACAGCTGCTTGTAATGTCTGCACTCATGAATACTCTCGCATTTCCTACTCCATCATTGCAACGCCTCACCGTTGCTCTCACAATCTGCTGCTTGTCAGAGCAAAGGTCAGAGGTCACAAATGGAGCCCTGTGTTCTCTCGGCCCTCTCATCCACGACCTATTCGATATGAAGTGTGTTGGTATTTCCAGGAGGATGTCGGGTGCTATGTGCATCATGACCGCTGCACGTTTGCCAGTAGTCCAGAAGAAGCTGCGGTGTGGAACTTGCAAAAAAACACAAACCTAGACCACAAGACTTTAATTCATCTGATCACGCAAAGAGAACGACTGGCTGAACAGAGCAGACAAGGAGATGGTCAGTCAAGCTCTCATGAGCTTTCCTCATACCAGGAGAAACTTCTGGAAGAGTACAGAAGCAGCAGCAATGAGATTCTTATCGTGAGTACAATGAAATCCTGCACAAGATTGCAAATCTGCCTAACTTCGTCCATGTAACTTTAATGTTTTTAAGACATATGATATCTATCTTTATGAGTATTTGAAACCATGTAAATTAAATGTACACACACACACACACACAAAAGATTTGTCACACAAAACATTTTTAAATATTTTTCATTTTAAGGATGTAGGCTAATACACTGCACAACTTACGCACAGATTTTTGATTCAATTTACAGTCTGGACGAGTCAATGCTAGTTGCCAAAAAATCATAGCCAGTCTCCAGATTTTGGGCAGGTGGAGTTGACAAATTACACAGAAAATTGTGTAGGCTAGTGTATCATGGTCACAGACTCCAATTTTTGATTCCATCCAGTCAGAGGATATCAAACATGTTTGTTCATTTGAGCTGATTTTATCAGCAATGAGGTGCATGTTTCTGCAAACGTTTGTGGACAGACTTGAAAGTCTGGTATGTTTTGTTTTTCTTTGGAACCATTTACAAAGTCTGCAAGTGTATGGTGCCAAGATTTTTTAAATCTGTTCTAATTTTAAAAGTCGTTTAGTGTATTCCTCTTTTAGTTGCTAAATATGCTGACATTGATGATGTTTGTTCTTGAAATGATTATACATAAAATCACAATATACCAGTCAGAATCAAGCATATGAGAGCCATATAATAGAGAAATGAAAATGTTGTTCGTGTATTTATGGTAACTTTTAAGTTAGTAGCCTACTAACATAAATCCACAAATATGGACACGTGTGTGTATTTTACAGATTTCTGAGCAGGTGGATGATGTGTGTGTTACACATGATGAGAATCTTTGTGTAGACTGTTTTCAAGAAGACAGTGGAATCAGATGGAAATTCACAATCACCACTGAGGTCAGAAATATACACTAACCTGCATCATTTTATATTCAGCCTTATTGCACACTAGTTATTGATAACCTTGTTTGTTTTGTCTGTGTTTTTGTGTAGAGGTCCTTGGCTCATGTGGCTCTACTGAAAGTGGAAAATGGGGCTGTTTTCTCTTTGAGTGACAGTTTACAGAACACCTTTCCCCCAGTCACACACACTGCAGGCCACCACCTTCGCTCCTCTCACTCCACCTACCAGCTGAGTGTGTCTTTTCTGTCGTTCCGCCCTGGAGTGTACGAGCAGTGGTTGGTGTTTGACTTCGACATGCGACCGGTTCTTCTCCGGAAACTGAAGGTGAGAGTCGGTCAGCAGTTCCATGTCCAGCCAGTTGAGGCAGAAGAGAGTGAATGTGCCGAGCTTCTTTCAGATGAGCGCTGGAACAGAGGAAACAGGGTTATCGTGCCCTTCTCTGCCAGAAAGGAGGAGGACGAGCAGTTGCTTAGTAAATACAAATCACCCCAGCTGAACTTACAGTTCAATCCCTATGCAGATCACAGTTCCCCAATTCACCGAGACAACTACAGAGAGAGAGCTCACCACTTTCTGTTCAGAGAGGAAATTGCAGAGGAGAAGCTCATTAGCAGGTACAAATAGCTTATAGAAATAGTACACCACTTAAAATGTATGCTAAAATGTATGCAGAAGCTTCCCGTCCGAATGGTTTCTCTTTGGGCTCTGCGGCTGATGTCATTTGCCTTGGTTTTGGGGAAGCCCCGCCGGTTGGTGTGTATAGTGCCACACGCTAGTGTCTTCTTTGAGAGCAAGTCCATAAAAAGGCATGGGCTCCTGTAGAAATAAAAAGCTGGTAGCCTTTGCCGAGAAGTGACAGATGTCACTTCTGTATGAATGCGTGATTCAATCAAACTTGTGTATGAATGCGTGATTCATATAAATATAGTGCCCCTCCAAACCAGCGCAAACCCCATCCCACCCCACAGCTGATTTCATTGGTCAACCATCACAGGCCCTGTCCCAAATGGCAGCCTTAACACTTGCGGTCTTCCTACAAGTCCGCACTTTTGTGACGTAACGCCTCTTTGACTGTTGGGAAGAAGTCTCCTGCAGAGCTCGCACCAGTGCAGGCTCAGCAGAAGGGTAGGCTAATTATTTTATAGTTATCAAACAAGGACACATTATGTTTTAGCTACCCATTACCATATTCACTTGTTTTTAAATGTGAATTCAAGCCAATAGCTGTTCTCATGTATGAAACATGGGCAAAGTTGTTAAAGTCAATGAATCTTTATGTAATATACAGATAAAATGAGTGCAGAAGTGGATAAACAGGTTTGGGTTGGGGTTCACACTGAACAGGTGGATTCTATTATTATGATTGTTTTTTTTAAGTTCTAATGGAGGTTATATCCTCATATGGTAGAGATCCCAAATGTAATTGTAAACAGTGTTAAGTGCTGATCTAAGTCCAAGAATTTTTTTATGTCTACAGGCCACACCATCATTAAGAGATATAATTTATCTAATGTCATAGTATCAGCCACACCCATAGACATATTTTCCCTAGCAGATAAGTTTCTCTCTCCCTAGGTTCTTATATGGTCTGCATACTGATGAGTCACAGATTTTGGCTTAGTGTGGGTCCCATGGCAACAGTGTTTTACCACCTAGATTTTACTTTTTGAATATAATTTCTACTACTAAAATAGTGTATTTTAACATTACTTATTTCTCATCACATGCACTCTAACTCTGGAATTTGAACTCATACTGGGATCAGAGGCATTCCATGTTATCATAGCATTTAATGGCCTCTGAGTCTGATAGTACTAGGCAGGTATAATCACTGAATTGAATATAAACGTAACTGAAAGCAAACAATGCAAAGATTAAAGGCATTATTTTCTAACAAGTTAATTGCGGTTTCAATGAATGGATGAAACATGGGCAGGGCAGTTTAAAAAATCAGCGCTATTGTTATGCATAGCTAAAATGGTGTTGTAGTAAAATATGAAATTATGGCAGAAAGGAAAGGTGGATGAATGGGTTGGTGTTAAGGTTCAAACTGAATAGGTGGAATGTTTTATGAATACAATACTGTTGTCACTGTTTTGAACTCAAAGAACAGCCAAAACACTGTGATTGATCCAGACAGGACACTTGCTACCGTCTGTTAAATAATTAGGTGGCACACATATTGGGTTTTTAGCCATTATTACATTACACTGTTATTGTAATTTCTTTTTGAATTTTTTTTCCATAGATGTCTATGGTTGGCCATATTACTGTATCTGGCATACTAATCAGTCTGAAAAGACAAATAGAAATTCCCCTACGCACATGACTTAAATTAAACCAGGTGTCCCCGACACCTTCAAAATTATCCTCAAAGGCCCCCCCCACTCTGACCACGTTGGTAACCCCTCACACAAGTATAGCTTCTCTGAAAGCATTAGAAAAACCCAGATGCCTAAGAATTCTGTTCTGATCACATAAGGTGTCTAAGATATATAGCTACCTGACCCCAACGGTAACCCTGGACGCCTAAAGCCTGGAACACACCAAGCCGATGGTCGGCCGTCGGACAGTTTTTTTTGTGCGTCGGCCGACTAAGTCTTCTCAGTGTGTTCCGCACGGTTCCGCACTGTCGGCTGAAATTGGTCCTCGTCGGCTTTGTTTCGGCCGATTCGACATGTTGAATCGGCGTCGGGCCATCGGTGAAAGAGCGAACTCTGATTGGCTGTTCAGCTTAAGCCTAGTTCACACTACATGATTTTAAAACGTCGGGCTGAACTGTGTGGTTCACACTACATGACTTGCTCTCTGTGAAATCAGGAGTGTTCAAGTTGTTGAGCTAATTCACACCACACGACACAACGTGATTGATCCGCAACAGGAGGTAACACGAGTTGACAACAACTCTGTCACCCAACGATTCTCTCTTGTCTACAAACCACGTTTTGTCACGAAAAATCACGCGATAAAACGAACCGGAAATGACGCGAAACAGCAAGGATACTGACCTCAACCCATGCCTTGCTCTGATTGGCTGTAGCTCATGACATCACGTGAGGTTGAGTCGTGCGACAGCTCTGGATATCTGCTAGATATTTTTCTGGGCTCCGCGACGCGTCTGCGAGGCGTCTGCGAGTGTCTTTGATGCGTTGTTGGCTCTTTCATACTAACAGATTGGCGAGCGTTCATCGCCCGCTAATCCCCGCGATTTGCACGCGATAACACCCTGACCTGTCGGCGAGCTCAACGATTTGCAAATCGGGCTTAAATCGGGCTTAAATCGGGCTTAAAATCATGTAGTGTGAACTAGGCTTTAGTGAATAATTGCAAAACAGCGAGCAAAGAAGTCAAAACGGTACAGATAGAAGGCTGTTCATATGTTACATCATCTTACCTGAGTGTTCCTTGGCGAATATTTCAATATTAACATGAGCGGAGTGGAATAAAGAAAGTGTTTAGCAGGATTGATATTCAAAACGGTTAGCATGCACTGCTTTGTTTACGGTGTGTATCTGCAG